AAGGAAGAGCTCGATTCTACGAGAAAGGAACACGGTCTTCCACGACCGCTGCCGCTCTCCCTCAGAGAATCAAAGCTCCTCCTTGACGTCCGTTATCGCTTTCGGCAGAGAGAACATGCTCGCCGAGATGAACACGGTCCGCAAGTTCAACTAGTACGGATTTTCTATAATTTTCTAACAATTTTCTAAGTTTTTCATTTCATGGAAAAATTAATTCTAGATCACGTAAGCCACCGGGGACGAGGATGGCGCGTGCTCCAGCGAGGACGAGCGAGGCGTGATTTTGATGAACTAATTTAACTTTTGTTTATCCAAACATATATGCAAATCATCATGTGATTTTGAGCTAAAATGACATATAAAATCATAATAAAGTCCAACATATAAAGTTACACATGCATGTACATCGTAAAATGAGATAAGCTACTGACAAAACATAAGAGGATTAAGTTTCTTACCTCTAAAATCGAAGAGCAACACCAATGGAGGGGGAGAGAGCAAGAACAACAGCAAGCTGAAGAACAGAGGCAGTGAGTTTGAATGCAATGGCTCGGGCTCGGGGAGGAAGAAATGAGCTGAATTATAGGCCGGGATAATTAGTCCCGGTTAGGGGTCCAAACCGGGACTAAAGATTAATCTTTATTCCCGGGACATCACCCAAACCGGGACTAAAAACTTTAGTCCCGGTTGGTAATACCAGCCGGGACTAAAGATCCCTGCCCCGCGGAGGACCGTTGGGCAGGAACCTTTAGTCCCGGTTGGTATTACCAACCCGGACTAAAGGGTCCTTTAGTCCCGGGGGCAAAAAATGCCGAGGCTAATGCCAAATTGGGACATCGTTCTAAAGTCTGTTCTCTAGTAGTGGGTGGCGGATCAAGCTTGCGTAATGAAAGGTGGCGCAGGGCTAGCCGCTAGCGGCGCGAGCGAGTGGGTGGCGGCGCCTCATCAATGGGCTTGGCAGACCCTGTTGATGGGCCCAGAAGGCTTGGTGATAGGCTTTTACCTTTTTTTTAATCTATTTCATGAGGTGGGCACTTGACCACCTTTGAAAATACTAAACATGGAGGCGGAATCCCTGCCTACCTCTGGAAACGTGTTTTGACTGTCTCTGAAAATCGTTTTAGTAGTGGTGCTAGATTTTGGTGTTTGGCTGGTGTTTTATGGTGACTCAAATCCTACTTGTAATAGGACTCAAAAAAGGTGTGCTATTGGACTTGAGTGTAGAATGCTACTAAGAGTAGGACTCCCACTTACATGTATGTGGGCTTAGGAGTGGAGTATATAAACAAGAGGTAGAGGTCATAGGCATCAATCAACCCAACACAGGAGCTTGTAAGGAGCAAATAGGAGCGGTTATGAGGATTAGGCTAGACATTCTATTGCACTAGATTCTTATATAGGGCAAAAATCATAGGGTCATAGAGGGTCAAGTAGGGTTGTGAGAGAGTAACAATCACATGTACTCTTTTGGAGTTGTGCTTATAGAATTTGCGGCTGGCTTTGTCAAAATCCTAATTTCTTGTCATGGTTGCGAAAAACAAATTCGGACTTCAAAGCTTAACACCTCTTATTTGACTTTTTCACTATTTTGAAATACGAAAAAGAAAAACAAATGCTAGTTGCCATTTTGTGTAACGCATACACTTCCGCGTCCCATCGACTTTGGCCAATGAGACTATTATACGAGTTTTCTAAGGAGCAACATGATACTTGATTTTCCGTTAGTTTTTCTATTTTCTAACTAAAGTATTAATTAATATGCAGGAAAATATTAGACAAATGGTTGGTTTTGTTCAGTATTTAGGTAGGGCTGACTATGCCACCTCAGCAGCTGGGACTGGAATTGCTTACAATGTATCTCATCTGGCCACTGACTGAATTCGAATTAGGGCCAGTGTATAAAGACCGGCTTATCTCTCTTAAGACTTCAACATTGTCATCTAAGGATTTTCTACGTGATTCGACTACATCATTCTTGATACGGTGCAAGCTTATGTCAGACTCATGGTATCCTTTAAAAAATCTGAAGGCTGCTGCACACAACTTGGGGTATCAGTTTCTAACAACTAGTGCAAAGCATATCATGATCTTATTGGCACCCATCCTATTTTCTAATTAACTGGTTCTTATTAATACAAGCCAAGTTTAGTCGATCTTTCAAAAAATATCTTTGCTTAGAACAATTTGCGTCCAATTTGCAAGACTTTGTGATGGATGTGGGATTCCGCACGTGCTGCTGCGTCTTTTGCTGCACGAGACGTGGTTAAACAGACCTAGGCCCCAATTTGCATGGCTTGTGGAATGCATGCTGCGTGCAGTCTCCCTGGCTCCCTGCATTCTCTTCGACGGAGCAAAGGAGGGCTGTAGGTATTGCTTGTTGCACCTCATTTTTTTTTATACGAGTATTCAGTACCTACCCGGCTCAAAACTTAAAAACCTTTATTACCTTTCTCCTGGAGATCATCATTGAATGGTTATTCTTACTTACAAGGACCGCATAAAGTATCTCACAAGCTATGTTACTTGCACGGTGATATTATGATTGTATTTGATCTCCTAAGAGAAGTTGAGAATAAGATCCAAATACTTATTCTACTCAGAGCGCTAGCTTGATTGTAGTTAGTTGTTGTCCGGGAATATACACTCGGTAGGTACTGCTTGATCATAGAACGGATCATATCATAGCAAAGTACGCAGCCACGAAAAAGCCAGAAGGTTTCATGCATCGCCCACTTTGTATTTAGGTGCATTGGGATGAAAAATTAACTAATTTCTACCTCAGTTCACTCCAATACACATAGATTAAATAATATATATATATATATATATATATATATATATATATCGAAACAAGCCCTTTGTGTCAACCTCTGTGGCACGTGGACAGTTATATATAACAGTCACTGAATACTGTCGTCAATGTACAGGCAGGTGCAGATTTAAAGCAAGTCATCGTGTGCTGTTAGATATCTTTTTCTAACGTGCAAACATTGTGTAAGTCTTTAAGGTACGCCACTGACGACAAAGGTTATCAAAGAGTCCTAGACCTCCGTACGAAGAATGGTATGCCGGTACTGTACTTATTAAGAGGCCCTATTTATAGGTACGCCACTGAAGCATTTTCACGAACGATTTTGCAACTGTCCATGAAAATCTATTTACAGGTACAATTTTAATTATGTCAACCGCCCTGACAATTATGTTTACAATCGCAAAACGTTATTAAACTGTACCAAAAAATTAGAATAGTATTTTCACCAACATAAAGGCTATTGCATGGTTGCAGTATCACAAGCATCAAACTGACATTTTTTTGCCTCTCATGATCCCCTCCCACCACCATACAACATAATCACTTATAACCAAGCATAAGATGCCATCCTTTTCTAATAACTCCTATATGAGTCTTTTGATTGAATATTTTAGCAATAAAATGATCTCAAATGAAAAATGTTTCAAGTACAAAGCTGTTTATTATGTCGAACACTACAACTTATTTGATATAGGGCATGGTTCCATCTGAGGTTTTTTTGGAAATTCAGAAAAAAATCGAATATCAAATTCCAAGATCCTTAAAATGTATTTTGACATCTAAATGTTCCCAAATAAAAATGTCATAAACTATAAAGTTTTTAGATCTTTCTGATATATATAAAATTGTCTTTTATATGACTTCGATAAAAAATTATGAATTTATTTGTTTGGGAGCTATTTTTTCTAAAATTGATTTTTAAGGGCAGATGACTATGCCTAGAAATACAGCCATTTTCAAAGGCAAATGACATAAGATTATAAGAATCTGTCCCTAAAAATATGATTTTTGGGACAACTATTTTATGTCAACCGTCTCCAAAAATAGGTAGATTTCTAGGAATGGCTTTATTAAGCCGACGACACTAAAAATTGACTTTGGTTCATAAGCTACCTTGAAGCACAATATTTACATAGGTGGTTGTCATGACAATTTATGTTGTAAAAAATTAATAATAATTAAGAACTTTCTAATAATAATAATAATAATAATAATAATTCATTTTATAATTATTAGTCATAGGCCGCTTGTCATAAGAAACAAAATAATCCTTTTAATTTCAAATAGAGGGAGTACTAGCTAGAGTGGTATCTGGGTATTTTTCACACGATGGAAGGCACATACACAAATAGTAGTTGTATTTTTTTTTGAGGAAATAGTAATTGTATTTATGTTCCGATTAACATATATAACTGAAATACATGCCTGATCATTATTAAAGAGTTACAGTTTATCTGTACTCAAACTAAATCACAATACATCAATTGCGAGCGTAAACACTGAAATTTTATTTATTGGAAACACGTGGTCACCGCTGACCTACTAATGACGCTTTCTGAAGAGCTGTTCTATATCGTCAGCATGAAACATGATATACCACCATGATAATCTAAAATAGGAAAAGTGAGAATCAATACACTTGCAATAAGAATGTTCCATATTTCACACACGTGAAAATTTTGTACAATATATATAGCCTAAATAATATATGGCACCTAGTTTCCTCGATCTATAGTTATTTTAAAATGTAATGTTCATATTTATAGCATATATACACCTTTTAAACGTTGTGATGGAGGAGTAGGTAAGATGATAGACTATTTTATTGAGCAGCTGTTTTTAAAGACCATGTATAGAAAGATTGAATTATACATATATTGTCACTAGCTACGAATAAGGAATTGAAAACTTACTAATCATTAGAATTTTTTAAGTATTTTGCAAGCAGAACTAAATCTGTGCAATTTGTTTTAACTTTGCATTCATGAGCACATCCTCTTATTCTTTCGTTTGCATCTCCTTGTATAGTTCTATGTAGCAATATTTTATATTGTTAGCAAAAAAATATACTAAAGCATGGTATTGTTGATTATAGGGCTAGTATGTTAATTAGGTCTATACTTAACTTCAGAAAGAATATATAATGTGACATGACTGCAATGCCATTCGATACTTAACATCATACCTTTTATGTCTCTCTAAGATAAATGGTATCATTTCTCAACCGAATATATGATTTGGCTGCTAGCTTCATACCATCCTAGACAGCAAATTAGAAAATTTTATGAGCGTTTCAATAAAAAAAGGAGTTGCACTAACAGAAAAAAGAATAATGAATACAACACCGAGAGAGTTTGAAGCTACGAACCATAAGTGTCACAATTGGTTTGTAGCCAAGTTCTTCAGCAGCTTTGTTACAACTGAATGTTCTATGGATTGTCAGATACTTGATCCTTGCTGGTGTTAGAACTTGAGGTTGGCACATTCCATAATGGTGTAGAACCTTGTATCCCCACTCTACCAAATAGCTTACTGCCTTGATGACAAGCAAAGGTATTCTTATCTTGAACAACCTACAATAAATTTCCATCATTTAAATAGTACAATTAGGTGTATCATGTGTACTCTTAGTTAAAAAATACTCATATATAATAAAGCAAATAAACTTGTTATCGTAACTAAGATATACTATTATATATATGCACAACAAAAGGAAGTAAATAAATTCTTTATATTTAGTCTCCATTGCATATAAAAACATATAGTTGGCTGTGGTGGGTAATGATGGTTAGTGGCGGTTGGTTCTATAAAAGTATTTTCTCGTGTGATCATTTGCATAAAGGATTGTCCAATTTGTATATATGTGGTTCTTTGTAGCTTAACTCTACATCTACTTATTATAAAAGTACTGTTTGGAAATTGAATAGCTCAATTATTAGAACTTATAACTTAAAATATTTTGATTCAAAATCCAGTGGCCACTGCAATGATATGGGCATCTAGCTAATCATTTAAAAAAACTAGACATGATGAGGATAGTTTAGAATTATCACCCTCATCTGTACATTCTATTTAAAAGGTGTACATTATAGACAAATATTATTATCATGAAGAATTCGTGAAAAAAGTGGACACCCTTGAGACACATAAGAGAACAATATACAATGCCTATAAATTAATTTATTAATTATTTCTTCTTAATATAGTGAAGCGCGGCTCTCTCCTGCCTTTTCGAGAAAAAGTTGTTATAAACCACTAATTTTTGCAATGATATTTATACTAAACTCGATAAGGTCCATTAGAGATCAGTGTAGTAATTATTCCAAAGGCTCCATAAATTATGCATCAAATTTAGCTTCTGGTGAAATAATAAAATTGAACCTTGGATAATTAGTTCTAGGTGAGTATTACACAAATTGTCAAGGGCACACGTATAGAATAGTATGGACATAAATAATATTGTACTCCCTCTGCTCCAAATTATAAGACATTTTGGCTTTTCTAGATGTATTTCTTTTACTATGTATCTAGACATAGTGTATAGCTAAGTGCATAGAAAATCAATGTATCTAAAAAAATCAAAACGTCTTATAATTTAGAACGGAGGGAGTGCACACTATCCAAAACCACCCACCCACCTAGAAAACCCACAAAAATAACACTACATTGAAATTGAGATCTGTGAAGAGGGGATTACTACTCGATTGAAGCATCTAATGCATGAATAATGGCCTAGTACCAATCAAGCATATTTGTTATAGGAGCATGCCAAAGTATCCATTTTGCATATAGAACAAGGAGACTCTATTGAGGTATAAAAATATATCAATAGAAAGTGCACCTTTTGTATCCAAGTTCTTCATGAAGCAGATATAGAAAGTCCCACATATTCATTGGCTCTGTATTGGTTATAAAGTAGGCCTAAAAATTTTAAATATGTCATGATAGTTTGTTGTACAAGTCAAAGTTTGTCATTGAGTTGAAAAAACATACTTTTCCACCACTGATTTTTGCGCCTTCCATAGTAGAAAGAGCTTTTTCAGCACAAATGTGACCATGTACCACATTTTCAACATATACAAAATCATCACAGTTCTTCCCATCACCAAAAATAAACTGCATTAATATAGAGCTGGTAAGACCAGTATATAGATGGATCCTAAAACTTTCTATAATGGATTAACAATGCTGATTATTATAGATTGATAAGTATGTTTTGCTTTTTAGTTATTTGCTCTTCATTTGGTGTTAGTAATGCCTCACAACATCAAATTCACAAGCTTGCCCTGGCTAATCCACATGGGCATTAATTTGAAAATATGGCCACTTAAATAAGGTTTGCTCCATAGTAGATCCATGTAAGACCAATAACACAAACTCCAATTGATAAATTTTGCAATAAAAATTATTACAATGTGTAATATTTTTTTGTTGTACCATTTCTCGTAAATAGAACTTATCTGCCTATTTATGTCAAGAGTATTCCTGCACACTTTTTCAGTGATGCATAGCATAGGCGTCAAAAAGATCTATGCCAAATATTATAACCATTATTTTCTTATGCCTTTTTCTAATAAATTTATTCCTTCAAAATAAATTACTAGTTAGTTCTCTAATGTTAAACATGGCATTGCTTCCTTACGTGTGTTTTTCCACACTGGTCCAGAGTTGGTAGTATAACTATGTCACCAGGTCCAAAAATGCTACCAGGACGTATGCAACAAGTTAGAAGGTCATTAATGCCATTAGCCTTCATGACTAACTTTTCTGCTTCTGCCTTTGTTTGTCCATATGCATCAGGAAACTGCACCAATAAAAAACATATGGTCATAAAAATATATTTTCATAACATGTGTAGATGGATCAATATTTAAACTGAATTAGTACACTAGTAGAGAACAGACTTTTCATCCGATGCTAAAATGGGCTTTACTCCCGGCATTTTTTTTGCGCCGGGACTAGAGAGACCTTTAGTTCCGGTTGGTGTCTCCAACCGGGACTAAAGGTCCTTACCCAACGGCTACTGCGCTCGGCACAGTGGCAGAGGACCTTTAGTCCCGGTTGAAGACACCAACCGGGACTAAAGGTGGACCTTTACTCCTGGTTGGAGCCACCAACCGGAACTAAAAGTCCTCAACCTTTAGTTCCGGTTGGTAACACCAACCGGGACTAAAAGTAGACCCTTTAGTCCCGGTTGGTAACACCAACCCGGACTAAAGGACCCTTTAGTCCTGGTTGGTAACACCAACCGAGACTAAAGGTCCCCCGATGGGTTAGTTCAAAAGGGAAGCATCCCATCCATTGTTAGATGTGTTGTATAGGTGGGGTGGTAAGCTACGCGCGAGGCAATGCATGGGGTCTTGGGTTCGAATCTCACGGGACGCAGCGGTGGGAGGCATTATTTTTTTTAAAGCTGGGAGGACCTTTAGTCCCGGTTGGTGTTACCCACCGGGATTAAGTTCCTGACCCGGGACTAAAGGACCCCCCTTAGTCCCGGATGCTTACTCCCGGGTGGGGAACCGGGACTAGAGGGGGTTCCCCACCGGGAGTAAAGCTATGTTCTCTATCAGTGGTATAGGCAAGCATGCAAAAAAAAAAGTCTCTGTCAATGGTTCACTTTGTTATCTTGTAAACCAATTCTAGAAGAGAAGTGATGTAATATATTTGGAGGTAGCATAAACATTAAGTGCCTAACAGATTGAGTAGTCAATATATTTTCACGCAACCTGGTCTGGGTATGGCAATGATTCATTTGCATCGAGAAGCCCATGAACTCCGTCGAACACAACAGCGATAGAGCTGGTGTGTATAAGCCTTTTCACCTTGCAAGTCATACACGCATCAATCACATTCTTTGTCCCTGTGCAAATAGGATATAAATGAAAAGGCCAAATAGTAAAACTAACTTCCATTATGTTACTCTTATAAATTAAATGATAGCATATTTATCATATCCTTACAAAATTTGGTTAGTTAAAAATATTTGCTAATTTTCTAGTTTGCTAGGTAGCCTAGTACGTACACCCTCCACCCCATGATATAAGGAAATCTGGCTTTAAAATTTTGCCCAATAAGGATTTCTAAGAATCCACCTATGCAATCTGGTTAAAACAGCCATTCATGGGAAGGATTATCCCAATGCCCAATAAGAGTTGTTTAGCTAAGAATGATGTCTTAGTCGATCTGTCCTAAAATTGCAATCTGGGTTATGTATAGTACATATCTTACTTAAGAATGTACAAAATACACAAGAAATGGATTCCCTGACGATCAACATTGAATTACATACTTTTAAAATCAAAAATGGTAAATAACGAATAAGGGTTCCTATGAAGAATGTACCTCACCAATCCCTACCAACATTTATACTAAATAAAAAATTAACCTTATGAAACATTGTGCTTTGAACTTTAGAGTACCATGTTAGAGTTAAAGATTAATTATATAGGTAGAAGTAATTACATAATGAGTAGCTTATCATTTAATTAGCGTCAAGGTGCTCATAGAATAGTTCTTTGACTGACCCTCAACGTTGACCTTATAGTGAAGTTGTAGGTTGTTCTTGCTTGGATCCGCAGCAGCTGTGTGGAAAACAACCTCAACCCCTTCAAAAGCTGAATACAAGAAAAAACAATCAAATTTCAGTTACATGAATAGTCATCGTGTTCATCGGTAATACTATTCGCTTTTATTATTCATATGTGCCTATCGCACTTTGCATCGCATTATGAAATGTCACATATGCACACACACACACACACACACACACACACACACACACACATATATATATATATATATATATATATATATATATATATATATTTCAAACAACTTGCAAATGCGTAACTACTAGTAATAGCATAACTTTTGATTGGTACTACAAGTCTTGCGATGTACCACACAACATTTGGTCTGATGAATGAACACATAGTAGATGGAAGGTTCATCTCATGAACTTCGATAGATTGATTACTCAATTTCTCATGTTCATAATCTCTGTGCATGCACTTGAGGAGTGAGGTAGTGGTGATGTATTAACCCAATTCTAATCCTGAAACAAGCATGGATGACCATTACTCTAGCTAAACTCGTATCATATTTTGTACTCTTTACTCCGTTCTAAATTATAAGACGTTTTGGCTTTTCAAGATTCATTGTTTTTACTATGTATCTAGACATAGTATATATCTAAGTGCATAGCAAAAGCCATATATCTAGAAAGACCAAAACGTCTTATATAATTTGGAACGGAGGGAACATGTATAATAAGCATAGCCAACTAGCTAGGTGCGTGATGTTTATATATTTTCTCTCGGAGAATCTGAGTGGAGAAAGCCTTAACTGTACGTGATTAAAAAGGACCAACCCCTACAAAGGGTTCTAACGTTCTAGAGAGAGCATCAGTGCACTACTATCTATTAGATTGGTGAAGAACAATGGAAGGAAGGAGGAGATAGCAACTGGCGGTGCAAGACGAAGAGCAGTCGTCGTTGAAGGAAAGATGATTTGTCTCTCACCCTTAACAAATGGCCGTCCCTCCGTTCGATCCTTTTATTGTTATACATATATAGTAAGGTCATGCCGTTTCAAATAAAATGGAATTAATTTATCAGTACTGGCAAGAGGGCAAGGCACACTGATTATATTTTCGTCACCTTCAATAAGCTGGTCTAGGTTGCAGACATCCGCTGAGGCATAGACGGCACGGCCATCACGGAGGGCGTCATCGAGGACGTCCTCGGTGTCGCCGAGGCCGAGCACGACATCCGGGGCGAGGTCGGTGACCCGCACATGCCACTCGCCGGAGCGGAGCAGCGCGGCCACCAGGTGCCTCGCCATGAAGCCCCGGCCGCCGGTCACCGCGCACCACCTCTTATTCTCAGCTGGCCGCGGGACACTACCGTTGCTGTCGCCATCACGAAGCGACCCCATTCGATCAGGGAAGTGATGATATAAATCAAGTGGCTCGATCGATCTTTAGCATGACCAGGGCTTTGCCCTTGCACGTATATTTATAGATAGCCGCCGGGCCGGGACCTGTACGTCCCTGATCGATCTTGAAATATTTGCTCCAGCTAAAATGGATAAGCTTAGAAACTTGGATCTATACTATGCCCAGTCGCCGCCAGTCACCACACGACTGCATTGCCGCTGTGGCAGCACCAGCTGCACTGACGCTTTGTAGTTTGTACGCCAGCGAGCGAGAGCTGCAGCTGCAGTCTGCACCGACGCTAGCTAGCTGGGCTGGCTGGCTGCTTGCTTGACGTGCTCCGAGCTGGACGTACGGCGCCGCTAATAACTTCTTGCTTGCGCAGAACCCTGACGCTATACACCGACGAGCAAGTGCAAACCCGCGCGCCATGCATGACGCCCGACAGTCTATGCCGTCGTCACAGCGTGCGAGAGTCCGGATCATACACCGTCTCTCACGCTAAAGGTTATCAGGTCGAGTTGCTTCCGAGATGATGTAACGCTACTATGTCGTCGTTCTATATATATATATACAGTGCCGGTCCTACGATTTTAAGGGCCATATGGCGATCTCGTTGCAACGGCCCCTCTTAACCATGTATAAAATCTTATAATATATAGGCGCTAATTTTACTTATAAAACGAAAGCAAATTCAATAATATATTTTTAATTTAACATGTTTGATAATTACCGAGGAACAATGTAGATTAAGCAATATATTTGTAGATGTATGATAATTATCGAGGAACAATGTAGATTAAAAAAGTAATATATTCGTTTTTTTCTCACCCATGACAAATGTTTCTTAGGTAACATTCTAAAATTCTAACACCTAAATTAGAAGAAAAATATTACTATATGGATACAAAGTATTAGAAGTCTAGAATACTATACAAATAATTAATTTGGATTAAAAATAAAAAAAAAAAAATACCTTGGGCCTAAACAACTGATCGGTGATCGCAATTCATAAGAAGCCAAGAATCAAGATGTTGTCGTCGTGGAGCCCTGCCTGATCGCCATCCTCGTGCGTCGTGTCCGTGTCTCCGGTAGTCTAGCTCTTCGCGGTGGCACGGCTCGCCAGCTCTGCGTGTGTAAGGTGCACATCGCGAACTCACGGTCAGAGTGTGCTGCGTGCAGCGTGACTCCTCGCCTCATCTCTACCCGAGGGCCGTGGGAAAACGAAACTAGAAAAGAAATGCCGGTGTTGTCTTTTTAGGCCACCTGACCAGTTCTATGTCTCTCTTCTCATTAGTTTGGTAATATCTAATGGACTATAGAACCTGGGAGTTTGTATACCTGAGCTTGAGCCCCTCCTCCATTTGGGCCCTCGACCGTCGCACCTCTTACCCTACCCCTAGGGCCGGCACTATATATATATATATATATATATATATATATATATATATATATATAAACTGTAACGTCATTGTCTAGCCGATGATATCAAGTCCCGTCTATCCATATACGATTCTATTTTACATCTAAAAAGAATGTAGTGTTATATCCGATGCCGATGATACTAAGTCCCACACCTACCCGTATACTATCAAAAAAAAAACTCAGCAGCGTCGTTGCCCACTCCCTGCGCCCTATCATCTTCTCCATCCCTCCCAAAGTAGATGACGCATTGGACTTTTAGATATTGTATTTAATTATTTATCTTATTCAGTTTTTTTTGCGCAAACAATAAAATAAATAAGTCACTAATAAAATAAATAATATTTATATAAAAAATTGAATAAGGTGAACGATCAAATAAAATATATCTAATACAAGTAAAAAAACGTCATGTATTTTAGGACCGAGAAGAGTACATCCGCTCACCTGCTCTCCCCCGATCCGCGATCCGCGACCCGCCCCTCCGCGGTCGTGCAATTCGGCCGCCGCCGCCGCTCGGATCCCCGCGGATCAGCCCTCAGATTCTTGCTCCCGACGCCCGCCGCCCGCCGCTGTTGTTCCATCACCGCTGTCATCCCACCAGCCTCTCCGCCCCCCTCCTTTACTCCTGGTCAGTCGACGTAGCCATCCATCTAGCACCACGCCGTGAGGGTACAGGTGGCGGCCACCCTAATCGGTGCGGTGGTGCGTTAGCAAGAAGAAGCTGTGTTTGCAAGGCAGGCCACGACGAGGTGGTGGAGCTAGGAACTGTTGACGCCGTTGTGGACGAGCTCGGCGGGCGCGTCATCGCCGACCATGCGTATCGCTACCACGCGAGCCTGAGCCCCTACAAGCATCACCACTCGCGATCGGGTGCACACGACCGTACCACTTGTACAGGGGCGCCGGCGGCAGGGACCACTGCTACACCCCTGGTGGCTCAGCCTTCTGCGTACGCGCCTCACTTTTACAGGGGCGCCCGCGGATACCCGACGTAGTACCATCAGGCAGCAGCACGGCTGCTTCTACTACCACCAGGTGGCCGCGAAGACGCACACGATGGTGCACCACGAGTACACGAGCAATCCCATGTAACCGGACTAGATAGTTGTGAGGCTAGCTAGCTAGTTCGGGTACTTGAACTCGAGACTCAGCCACCGCCGAGAACTCGCCGCCGACGCCAACCGGCTCGGTTCAATAACGTGTTCAAGCTCGCGTTCTTCTTCGCCAGCAAGACAATACATAGGAGCCATTCCGGCACTCCTGCCCGTTACATGGGCCGTCGATGAATCAAAGCGATAAACGATAATGGGCCACTCACAGCTCACACCCAGTCCGGCCCGTAGACGTTGGAGTTGGGCTTGCGGCCGCGCCCACTTCTTGCCTTCAGCCTGAGCATTCTTCCCGCCGCCATCATCAGCAGATTCAGTAACGCCACCATCAGGTTCATCAACTTCAGATGCAGCCATGCAGGTTCAGAGTTCTTGGTGCTCGGTACCTTGGCGTCGGTGACATCCCAATGGTACGTGCCTCCCCCTGCCGCGTCCTGGTCTGGCTCCCCCATTGTCACACCGTACCTCCGCATCGATGCCCTGGCCCTGCTCGATAGCAAAATGGCATCCTTTCACCATTCTCCACGTTCTTGCTCTGATGAGCCCATAGCTCCTCAAGATGATCATGCGGACATGTCTAGTGATAGTTTAAATATAGCCGCTGATAATTCTTTAATATCCTTTGGTCTTAAATTTGGAACTGTTACTTTTAGACCTGGTTTGGATGCGTATGTCTCCATCTCAATCCACATATGTTGAAGTAAATTGGAGTGGAATTAAACTAAGTTTCATTCTAATCCACTCCAACGCATGTGGATTAATTGACGTGGATACACATGCATCCAAACAAGACCTTAAGGAGAAATATATTGCGGATGTGGGGGAATTTACAACTGACTTTCGTCAAATCTTATTTTTAGTGGTAGAACATTCAAGAAAGAAGGAAATATGAAGCAAAGAAATTATATGTTCATTGGTACCATGCAGATAGATCGAGAACAATCCAGGTTGAACATATGGTACATGCTATTTGCTTAACTGCAATAAAATGGTTAAGTAAGGTGATTAGCATTATGGCCGCATTTGTTTATTATTATTGGGCTCAACTAGATGATTCTGGTGCTTCCGTGCACTTGTTTGGGAAGAACCAGGTTCTGGCCTTGTGGAGTCTGTTTAGTTTATGCCAGCGTGCATATATATATAAGGCCTTATAATTTAGATTGGATTTTATTGTAGAGTTTATTCCTCGTCAAGTTGCCACTTGAAAAATCCTAGATAGTTTATTGATCCGGAACCCTCATTGGATCAGACATTATTGTCTATGTTGTGGGGAGGGGGGAGCACCTCCGGCGAGCCACCCCGCCTATCCTCACCCGTGAGGAGAACCCTCATTTGCCTCTAATGGGAGACCTCCGATCGAGTGGTTTCCGAGCCAAAGGTTCTATCGCGAGGTAGTTGCCGCGGCAAGCATCGTTGTACGTCGGGTGTCACTGAGTGTGGGTCTCTGGTGGCTCGGTGGACTCAAGAACACAAGAGAAGATATGTCAATGTATCTTAGTTCAGGCTATCGGAGCCCTATGTCTAGCAGTGTGGTTGTTCTTTGTATTTAAGAGCACCCAAATCAGGGGTTACAACGAAAGAGAAAGAGATTTGGCAGGGGATCGCTCAGTGCTATCATAAGACTCGTTGTCAGTGAGGCTTCTTCCCTAGAAAGGAAGAAGAACACTCCTGTCTCTTGCCAGGTTGCTCGGGGAATGAACACTCGGTCGTTCCTCTTGGCTTGCTCTGCTCTCAGGGCGGAGCTCGGAATGCTCTGGTCTGTTTGGTTCGTTTCCTTCTTCTCCTCTCTAGGAGCCGACATCCCAATTATATTCCGAGGAAGGTCCGGTACAAGGTGGTTCGGGGTTTTAGTCTGTAATCTACGTGCGTCGAAATCTAGAAGGGCGCTACTACGGTGTGGATGGACCCTGGCGTTGTCATGGAGTCGATAGAGCCTTGGGCGCCTTCTGGCTCTTCTAGCCCTGACACTCTGACCGTCAGGGGCTGTCTGCTTGGACCGACCTCCACTGGGTGAGACTTCTTGAGGCTTCCTTGGCGGTGAAGGCGCCTGGCTCGGGAGGCTAATGAGCAGGCCCAGGAGCCCCCGCTCCTAGAGTCGATGGAGGGATTTGTCATCTTGTGTCAGGCCACTGCGTGACTCTATCGGAGGAGTGGGCGACACAGCACTGTGTGCCCATCGGTTAGGGCGCCACTAGGGAGCCCCTGAGCCTTGGAGGCTTGGGACGTTGGATTCCTTCCTGGGCACTAGCTTGGGCTGGGGTTAAGTCGGGGATCAGGCTCGAGCTACCGTCAGTCGGAAGCCTGGGGTTCTAGCGAGCCTCCAAGCACTGAGCAGAGGCCAAGGACGTGCTCGGGCTCTACCTCATCCTCAGCCAGAGGGTACGCCAATGCCATCGGACCATCCAACAGATCGCAAGTGTAGCAACAGTAAGGGGGAAATGACTTGTTTGCCACTTATGGGAGTGGGA